TCAGAACCCAGCGAGGCAAAGTGCACAGCCATTGGGGACGCCCAGCCAAGTGGGACCGTGCCGGATGCATGGACCGGGCCCCAGGCAGGTGCAGGGAGGGCCTGCTGGTGAGGAATGAAGAATTCAGCAGGGGTGCCAGAGAGGGTGCCTAGGACGCAGGGCAGAGGCGGGGTAGGGGAGCAAGCCCACAGAATGAGGGGAGCAGCACAGCTGAGCCAAACCCGGCAGCCACAGCCCAGAAGTGCGTGTTGGTGGAGGCCCAGGTGGCAGGACGGGCAGCAGCGGTGTAGACTGTGCTGGGAATGCTTCCCTGTCTCCACACCCGGGGGCCCGGAGGCTGTGTTTAGGGCCTGGAGGTGGCATGAAGGACGAAGCAGGCTCTGGCCTACGGGTCGGGGACTCGACTCAGATCACCAAGACAAGGCTCATGTCCAGGGAAATCCATGAGGGTGTTTCGGGGAGCGGAGGGGTGATCTTGTTCTCAGGACTAAGGTGTCAGCCCCGGGAGTCTGGGCCCGAGTTCCGAGCTGGATCTCGAGGCTGCAAGTGAGGACGACTCTGCAGGTAGAAAGAGAAAGGCTGTGGGCCCTGGGGCAGCTGCTCCAGGCGCTTGGAGGGACTGGGGCCTGGGGAGGGGAAGGGCTTCCACATCAGAGCCACCGGCCCCCGTCCTGGGACCAGGAGCCCGGTGCGTGAGATCCAGCCCGGGGTCGTGCTCTGATGTACCAGGGACTTCGCACAGACCCCACCGGGGCCCTGAGTCGCTGCGGCAGGGCCCCAGGACAGGTGCGGAAGCGCCTGTGAGAGCAGGCGTGTGCGGCTCTGTTTCACGTGGGAGAGTTCTCGTGCACGACGTGGACTGCAAAGTCTGCTGCTAACAGCTGGATGCCGACGCGGACAACGACAATGACCAGTGCAATTCTGCCCCTCTCTGGGGAACCGGGAAGAAGATAAAAGAAACGCCAGGAGTTCAAAAGCATAAAAATGGCTCCGGAAATCCATCAGAAAAACAAGCTCTCCGTAAAGGGTGACAGCACAATGCAGGAGTGGGGCTGGGAAGGGGGACTGTGGCTTCAGCGAGGGATTTCATACGGGGCAACGGCATTTTAGAGTCCCAGCTGAAATGGCTGTAGCTCCACTGTAACATGCCCTTTGGAAAAATCAATATAACTTATTGTGCCTCTTCAAGCTCATTTGATATACTTTGAAGGTGAGGAGACAGAATAAAGGGATAGAAACCCACCTCAGCCAGCTCAAATAGTAGAGGGGGCTGTTAAATTCTTAGAAACCAGGCCGGAAACTGCAGCATCTCAGTGGAACTGGACACTCAGGAGCGAGGTGGCTCTCTCGGCTTGTGAGGGCGTTGTGACCTCCCGGCGTCCTTGTGGTCCCCTTCTTTCTGCCTCTCTCCTACTTCACTCTGTCTCTATCATTCACACGACAACAGCTTGACTGGCAGGCCAATAACAGGACATCGCTCTCAAACTTTTCTTTCATTCTTTTTTTTTTAAAGAATTATTTATTTACTTAATTCCATTTATTGTTATTATTATTACTATTTTAAAAATTTGAGCAGAGAGACACAGAGAGAGAGAGACAGGGAAAAAGAGAAAGGGAGCCGCCAGACTCAGGACTCAAACCATGGTTGACCATGTAGGAATCCAGCACCTTTAACCACTACACTGCCCACCAGCCCCTCAAACTTTTCTTGAGAGTGATGATTTGCGTTGGATTTTTTTTTTTTTTGCCATGGGGGTGTATGCTACCAGAGAGAGACAGAGACAGAGAGAGGGATGTGAGAAATCATTCCCTGGGGAGGATTTTCCCCTCTTATCCCCCCCTGGGTTTGGGGACACACACACACACACACACACACACACACACACACACCCAGAGAGATTTATCAAGCTACCATGTCCAAGACTTGAACCATGGTCAGCCAGGTGGGAGTCCATCATCTCCTTAACCACTGTGCCACCTGCTGACCCTGGACTTTTTGTTTGTTTGTTTTTAGAGAGATTTTTGCTATAGGGAGCATGCACTCGCTGGAGAGACAGAGAGAGACAGAGAGACAGAAAGCGAGAAATGACCTCCCAGGGGGGTGGCCACACCCCAATCCCTTTTCCTTCATTCTCCTGTTGGGATTTTGGGCACACACGCACACATGGCTGGCATGAGTTTCAAGCCACTGGGTCCTGGACTCAAACCGCAGTCGACTATGTGGGAGCCCAGTGATATAACCATTATGCCATCTGCTGGTCCCTTGAATTGGATTATTTTTGCGGGGAGAGGGAGAGTTTTTTCTTTTTTCTTTCTTTTGCTATAGACAGAGAGACAGAAAGTGAGAAGTCACCCCCCAGAGAGGATGGCCACGCCACAATCCCTTCTCCTCCATTCTCTTCTCGAGATCTTGGGCATACACAGCACACACGCCTGGTGTGAGTTTAAGCCACCGGGTCCGGAACTCGAACCACGGTCAACTACATGGGAGTCCAGTGACACAGCCATTACACCATCTTCTGGTCCCTTGAATTGGATTTTTAAGAGACGGACTCCTATTGACTCAGCACAGTCTACAGAACGACTTCCCACAACTCGGTGCCAGTCAGCTCAGACAGAGGAGGAGGAGGTGCTCTAGCCCCCGAGGAAGGAGTACGGCAGCCCCCCGTAGAGGTTCAGACCCCACTCCAAGGGACAAGGCCTTGGACGGGGTGTAGTGGAGAGACAGAGCTGGTCTCTCCTCCTCAGACTTCCATGGTACTGTACTGGGTGGGCTCCCCAGGCCGCCAGATTGTGCCCCTCATCGCTGTGTATGGCCGAGGAGGCCTTGGGAGACCACTGCGCACCCTTTTCCATTTCGGTAGGCAGATCCTCAGCAACCTGTGAGCCGCTGCCTTCCTGGGTGCACTGTCTCCCAGCGTCTGGCAACGGAAACAACACTCCCACGGCGGGGTCCTAGTGGCTCCCAATGAGTAGGTCAGACCAGGACGCAGCACACTGAGCTCTGCCTTCGATGTGAAAACTGCTGGCAGTGGTTGAGAACATGGGGTCTGGAGTGATATTTCCAAATTCAAATTCTGGCTCCACTCTGCATCAACCACATGGCTTTGAGCAAGTGACTTAGCCTCTTAGTTTCCCACTTGTCAACAGACATCATCAAACCAGTGAGTGGGAAGTCAGACATACCCACTGTGGGAGGCTGCGCGCCAGCGAATATCACCGGCTTCTCAGAGAGCAAACAATTACATAATGCCGAGAACCATGCCAAATTCAAATTCTGGCTCCACTCTGCATCAACCACATGGCTTTGAGCAAGTGACTTAGCCTCTTAGTTTCCCACTTGTCAACAGACATCATCAAACCAGTGAGTGGGAAGTCAGACATACCCACTGTGGGAGGCTGCGCGCCAGCGAATATCACCGGCTTCTCAGAGAGCAAACAATTACATAATGCCGAAAACCATGATTGGCTCCCTTCAAAACCTCACCTTCAAAACCATGCTCTGATTGGCCACTTCCCATAGCAAATTGGTGAGCTTAGAATCCCTCAGATTTGCATATCTGGCACCTCATGATTGGTCCATAAAGCAGCCAATTATAACCCACCTTTTACAACTAATCATAACCCACTTTTACAACCAATCATGGCCCACCAACATGTATATAACCACGATCCCTGGCTCACAATTGCTAGACAACCCTGACGACCCTGAAGAGTTGTAACACCGCGTCGTCTCCTGACGACCCTGAAGAGCTATGACACTGCGTTGTCTCTGGACGACCCTGAAGAGTTGTAACACTGCGTCATCTCTGTGTTGTAACACTGCATCGTTTGTCCCATCTCTCACTCCTTCCCTCAGGAAACCTGTTTGGCTGTCCCCCGAGTGGAGACACCCACAGTATGGTCTGAGGACAGTTCTTGATCCCTAGAAAGTACTTGGTAATGCCGCCCATGATTTCCATGATGGTGACTCTTACTACTGTTTTATGATCGCACACGGGTGTGAAAGAGAGGGAGATATAGAAAGAAAAGAATCCTCGACAGGGTGTTGTCATGCTGTCATGCCTTTCCTTAGCCCTCCAGCTCCTCGGGACCCTGGGTAATACCGCACCTGCCAGCATGATTGAAGGCCAACCCAGGGAGCCAAACCTGTGGTTGGCCACATGGTCTCCAGCCTTGCAGGGTGCTTGCATTTCTGCCGTACCGCAGTGACTGGGATGCTGTTGTTATTGCGAATCCCCCTTTCTTGTCTTATTGACCTAAATGAATCTGAGGCTCTAAGATGATGACATCTCTACATTCCTCACAGCTATTGCCTCAATTTCTTTTCCAGACCTTTGTAATGTGTGTGTTAGCAAGTGCTGGAGGATTAATCACCTAAATTTTTTTTTTTGTTGGAGAGGTTTTTGCTATAGGGTGCGTGCGCTCACCAGAGAGACAGAGAGAGACAGAGAGACAGAAAGTGAGAAATCACCCCTCCTGGGGGAATGGCCACACTGCAATCCCTTCTCCTCCATTCTCTTCTCGGGATTTTGGGCATTCACACACACGCACCTGGAGTGAGTTTAAACCACCAGGTCTGGGACTCAAACTGCGGTCGACTTAAATGGGAGTCCAGTGACATAGCTATTATGCCCACTGCTGGTCCTCCAATCACCTAACTTTTATAATGTGCTTTGTACTCTGAATTGAGAAATCCTTCCCATTGAAGATGGACAAGAATGCATGAGCATTGGAACCTTGACATGAATTTGAGCAATTTGCTCAGTCCTGAGAGTACATCTTTTAAACCTTCCTTTTGGGTGCTTTGCATATATGCCCCTTTCCTGAAATAAAAAGAAGACCCCAGAGGAGCCCTGCCATTACTATCTAAAACTGTCATCTTCTGCACTGAAGAACGTGCAATCTAGTCCTTGGTAATATATTCAAGATCAGAGAGCTGGAAGCTCTGCCAGAAGCTTCAACACGGACTCACCATGTCCTGTTCTTTTCTCCTCCAGGGATCAAGCTAGTCCTGAAGATCATGAACCTGTCTTCTGAGCACTGCAACATATCAGACTGGCTGAGGCTGGAAGCTACAGTGAAGGCCTCCATATATGTGGTTGCATTCTCCTTTGCCACATTTATCACCGTCATCATTATTGTCATAGTGTCACAGAGTGTGAAGCTGAGGAGGGAGGTCCGATACATCCTCTTCTGCCATCATTTGCTGTGCATCAGCTCCTACTGTGGCCTGGGGATGGTTTTCCACGGAATGCGGGCCCTGCAGGCCCACAGTCCCCTGCTGATCTGCTGGGTGGTGTTCGGGGTGCAGCTGAGTGTTGGCGATGGGATCCTCTCCATTCTGGCCTTGATGGCCCTCAACACTTACGTGATGATTTGCTGGCCTCTGACATCTCTGACCTTTGTAGATTCCGTTAAGTATAAGGTTCTGGCCGGGACGTGGGCCGCCATTATCCTCAAGAATATTTGCTTATTCTTTGTGGAGGGCACTGACCTCACCCCGGTTGCTGTTTTTAAATCGGAGCCCCTTTGCCCCGTCATTTTGAACAGCTGGCGTGCCAGAGCCGTTGGCATGGTTTTCATTTTGCTTCTTTTGTCCGTCATTCTAGTAAGTTACTCTCTGATATACCAAGAAGGGAAACGGGCTGGCCATTTTAATGGGTCAAATATCAAAGCAAGGAAAACCGTCCTTGTTCACTTAGTGCAGATAAGCTTACATATAGTACCCGTCCTGATCTTCATAGGTCTGGGGAAGGTGTGTGGAGTGTTCTTCTTGGCTTTAAATCTGGTGTGTTTTGGCGTCTTTGCATTTGCCCAGTGTTTCAACCCTCTGATTTACGGGCTCTGGAATAAAGAACTGAAAAGCAGATTACACCATTGGGTGTACTGTCGGCTGGGGTGGGGCCACCCGGTGAACAGCAGAGAGCCTGTTTAAATAAAAACCCAGTCACTTTCATTTTGAATCAATAACCTTCGTTCTTCAGGACTCATCAATTAGGGATGAGGACCTGCCTTTTACTCAGCCTAAAATTGGTGCCTGATTTAATTTCGTAAGTAATCTGAGTAAGTCAGAGTAATGTGTTTGGCTTACGAATTTCCGTGCCGTGTGTGCTGAATTGGCCTCAGTGAAATCATTTTAATGTCTTCAATTCTAAACCCAGATCAGCATTTTTGACAACATGCTTTACCCCGTTGGAAGAGGTAGGCAGCTTTTGAACATGTCCGTATTTTTAGAAACCAAGAAACAGTCCATGGTAGATGTGGAGAGAAGGCTGTCCCCTCATATTAATTAGGGGTAGATTTGGCTGCGAATAATAACAAAATCAGCAATAAAATAACAGTGACTTTAAAAGGTAAAGATTAAGGGTTTTTGCTGTGTAAAGAAATCTGCGACTGCACAATCCAGGCTTAGGTGGCAGTCTGCAGTCAACGAGCTCATTCTCTTGTTTGTTGCCATGACTGGTTGCTACCTCATGACCTAACATGGCTGCTAATGCTCCTGTCATCAGTGCACACTCCAGCCAACAGGAAGGAGGAAGGAGCAACGAAGGGTCTGCACCCTGCTTCTAAGGACATTTTCGAGAAGTTATATACAAC